TTTAAGGCCTAAGGGTATAGCTCAGTGACAGAGCACCTTGTCTAGCATGCTTGAAGCACTATTTAAACAAAAACTAAAAAAGCTGCTTCATGTAGTTCAGTGGTGGAGCACTTGGTTAGCACGCATGAAGCCTTTTGTTAATCCCCAGTATCTACACACATGTGCACAGGTGCACGAACACACACACACCCAAATGGAGGTACTATAGAGAAAAATAAATTTAATTAAATTACCCAGTAATCATAAATGTGGTGGGAACAACTCTAGTTCAAAGACACGTTAGATTCAATTAGGGAAATAAAAGCAAAGGCAGGAAAATTTAAAATAGGAACTGGAAAGACGCTGACCACAAGAACTGACTATGTTAGCATCAGAGAGACTTTTCAACACAGAGCATTACAAATGAAAAGAGTTTCTATATCAGAGGGAAAGTTTTATTAGCAAGAATGCATGAAGACTTCTAAAACTGAAAGGAAAGCCACTTGATGCCCAAAAGGGCAAGGGTACAAAGAGGCCCTTCTCAGAGTCCACCGGAAATCATAGTGGGCCAGAGTGACCAGCATTCAGGGGGATGAGGATGTAGGTTAGTGTAGCTGTTGGGAACATAAATTGGGATGTGCACTGTGGAGGACTTTGTGACCCACTGTTTCTGGTATGTTTGGAATGTACTGTACCTCCAAGAAGTGCTCCCCGTGAGCCCAAGGAGATATGTGAAGAAGAGAATGTCTCGCTTCCATCAGGAAACACAAGGGAGCCAAGCAGAAGAGTGATTAAGCTATGGTGAGATCACATAATGGACTGGTAGTTGGCTCAGCAAGTACTTGTATTTCATAGCTACGAAGAGGGAGCAGTATGTGAGAAACACACACCTTGTTTCACCACTTAATAAATGGCCTGGTGAGTTACTCAGCCTCTCGTGTCTCAGCTTTCTCATCTGTAAAATGATGACCCACACAGTGTTGTGGAGCAACTAAATGTTCCTGGAAATATGCTTGGTGTTGTGCCTGGGATGTAGTGTGAGCTGTGCAAATGTTGGTGGCTGTCTATTCAGATGTCTTACATATGGATGAGTGTGGAAAGGAGGGTCCGAGTCAGAAAGTGCCACTCTGCGGTGCTCGGGCCAGTGTATGTCTATCTTTTCATTCTTGGCCTCGTTTAGCTTGAGGCTGCACAGACCCTTTGCCGCGGCTGCGCTGACTCTGGTCCTGAGTAGGTGGTGAAGACACTGCTGCGGGGGCCTGGTGTGTGCTGTCCTGAAGTCCTGACCTTTAGGTCTCCACTTTCTTGGGCCTTTCTAGAGGGAGCTGCTGGGGCAGGAGATGCTCAGTGAACTCTGGGTCCCTTTCTGAGGGTCTGAGTGGCCTTCTCTCATGCATGGAGGCTTCTGGGGAGGCGTGTGTGTGTCTTGCTGTGCTGGCAAGAGTGGACCTCAGGAAGGCGTAGAGGAGTGCCACTTTCTGTCTAGCTACAGGTCCGGGTGGATGGGACTGGGCACCCATTCTCTATGAGGGCTGGCTGCAGAGGGGCTTCCAGGAGCCAAGAGTGTGGTGGCACTGCGGTGCTGTGGTTCCTGCGTCTTCTGAGAGGTTAGCCTAGAGGCTGGAGAAGCTCAGGGGAGCCAGCTCTCAGCCATCCCCGTTTCTCCATCTCTCATCCCTCTCCCTCCTCCTTGCACTTTGAGCACCTCACAGGCAAGACTGATGAGGTTACATTTTATATCCAAGGTGCTGTGCTGAGCTGCTTCTGTGTGAGCGCGCGCATGCGTGTGTATGTGCGTGTACATGTGTATTTGAGGGAGAGACCTTTTTCTGTCCTGCCTGTGTGGAAGGTTTACTAGGTTGGTATGTCCTGTGAGCATGGGGACAGCCTTTTGGGGACCTTTCTCCTTACCTACCTGGATCTTGCAGAGTGAGTGGTGGAGCTGGCTGTGGTTTGGGGATGGCAGGCCCCTTACCTTGGTGTCTGAGGGTACAGCTTCCCTTGGCATTGTGAAGCTAGCATCTCAGCCAGGATGGGCAGGTGGGCTGGAGTGCAGGGAGCCTCTTGTACCAGAATGCTGTGATTCTGTGGGCGCAGATATGAGGAGGAGGCCGTTGTCCACTATAAAATGGAGGTGGCCTTGAATGCAAGTCTTGCCAGAGGCCATAAATAGCTGTGAAACAGAGCTAGGGAGGAAAGAAGGAAACAGGTCTCCACCTGGCCGATAGCCTGGTAGGTGTGGTGTGGGAGAGGCATGGAATGTCAGCTCTACTCGAAAGAAGAGCTGTCTCAGACATGGGATGCCTTGATGGGCTGGAGGCATAGAGGAGGGTTAGGTTGAAGACTTTGGGCAGCAGGGAGCAGAATGGCTGTGATATAATGGCTAATGGTCCAGGCATGTTCTGACTACTTTTGAAATGCATTAACTTTCCCAATAAGCGTAGGAAGGTAGGTTCTGTTATTAACTCCTGTCACAGAGTGGTTAGGTAACTTGTCCAAGGGCACACACTTGTCCAAGGGCAGGAGTTGAAGTCTGGTCTGCTTAACACTGTTGTTTGGCTGGGCTGCCTAGGAAAATCTGGTCCGATGGGGTTCAGGTAACATCCTGAACATTTGTGTCTTACTTAGAACCTTGAGATTTGAAGCTCCAAGTTCTCTCATTTGGGTCCTATGTAGGTTAGTGTCCAGATGAATCTGCCTGACAGTGTTCTGGAATGAGGAGCCGGGCCAGCTCTGGCCTGTTGTGTTTTTGGTGGAGTCCTAACCCTGCACAGGGCACTTATTGCCTCTTGTTTGTGTGGGAGATGTGACACTCCTGGGCTGTGAGTATAGGTCAGTGTTGGAGCACTTGCCTAGCATACTTGAGGCCCAGGTCATAGCTACAGAGACACAAAATGTGTTAACACTTCCTGTTGAAATCTTGCTGTACCCAGCATACCTATCCGTACCTTATGACAACTCAAGTGTCTAGATCTGGTTCTGACACTCAGGATGGCCAAAGATCCTGCTTTCATCGTTTTCTGTCTTATAGGGAAAGCCCAGAATTCAAACACAATTATTGAACACGTTTGTAATGCTTTATTTCTTATACAAGTGTTCATTATGTAAATAGTGTTATTTATTCTTGTGGGTTATTTTTGGTTATGTGATTCACATACTTTTTAATGTGTGAAATATTCCTTTAAACCTCAACAAGCAATTAGGCAGGGTGGCAAGTCAGGTGAATAAATTAGAGAGTTTGCCTGGTTTTGGGAGAGAGGGCAGAGTTAAAATCCTAGGGAGAAAATGGGAAGTATTTGCAGATAGAGGTGTAAACGGTGCTAAGTCCAGAAGCTAAACAGACTCCAGACCCTGGCACTGGGGTGTGGCTGCGAGGAGACCATGGAGTGCTCAGCCTCCCATCTGTAGGCAGCTTGCCGCTGGCTCACAAAGCTCAAGTTTTCTCATTAGAAGTGCTGCTGTACATACAGTTGAGTCCCAGGTTGGGGAAAGGAGGCCATGCACTCTCTGGACTGGGTGCTTCTCTCTGGACGGGTGCTTAGCGTGGCTCGGATAGCTACAGGTAGGCAGAGGTCTGTGGGCATCATGGGTGCCAGCCTGGGCCTGTGAACCTCTAACGGTGAAGTAGAGTGCTTCACCATGCTGGTGAAGGCTGCTGGCATGCTGGCTTGGGTTTTTGGGTTGACGGGTTTCTCCTCCATTCTGGGGTGGAAATAGTTGAGTGGGGGCAGTATCCATGAGTGGTGCCAGCTCCTGGCTCACAGTAGGCTAGAGAAGTGCAGGAGGGCTGGCTGGCTGCTCAGCCGTTCCTATTGGATGTTTCTGTCGGTTCGGACAGTGCGTGGTGGGTGTCCTGTGGAACTCGTAGACAAAGCGTCTTTTGGCATCTGTATACTCTTCCATCCCGGGACTGTCGGATTTGAAGGGGAGTGGCGGCCAGATCTGGGGCTGGGGCTGAGGCTGGGGGTTGTTTTAGAGGGAGGGTGAGGAAGGTAGATTTTGTGCATGTTTGAGGCCACGTTTGAATGGGCAGTACCAGGATGGTACTTCTACTGGGATAGAGTGGGATCCAGGAGTTGATGGGGTGTGCTGGGGTTGTCGGGAGAAACCTAGCCAGGAGGTTAGTCTGAGATTGCAGCTTGGCTTCCAGCCAACCCTCCTTTCTGGGAGCCTTGTCATGTGCACCTGTAGACACGTGCAGCACCAGGTACTGTTGCTGAGTACAGAAAGGGTATTGGTGGGGCCTTGCTTCCCAGGCAGTCTGGGCAGGAAGTTGTGGAAGGCACGTGAGCACAAGCTTGCTGGGAAGCACTGGTGTGCAGAGGCCAGGCGGAGGCTGGAGCAGCAGGAGGCCATTGCTTCTTGCAGCTCCTCCAGATGTTGCCCCTCAAGTCTGTACCAGTGGTTAAAAGTGGAGATCCTCACAGGCATGGTGGCTCATACCTGTAATCCCAGCATTTGGAAGGCTGAGGCAAGAGGATTGCTGCTTCTTTGAGGACTGCCTGGACTTCAAAGAAAGTTCAAAGCCAGCCTGAACATTAAAAAAAAGAAGAAATCCTCCCTCCCTTCCCATATTCCCATTGGATAGGTCTGGGCTATGCCTAGGCAGATACATTGTTAATAAACTGTCACCTTACCACACGCCTGCACACACAGCGATTGTGAAGTACACTGAAGTGCTGAGGCTCCTTCATTACTTTGCTACTGCGAGGAATCCCCCTCCCAAGCTACAGGTGGGATCGGTGCTCCTTTTTGTGCTCCTGCCCATCCGTGTGGCATCCATGTTTCTGTAGCATTGCATTCCCATTCTTAGGCCAGGGCTCATGCAGTGGGAGAAAGAAGCCGGCTCCCGGCACAAGTGGGCAGAGAGTAGCGAGCTGGAGGGGCTGACGCACGGGTCTAGCATTGAGAGGAGAAAGTCTCACCCCCTCCTTTGGAGTGACTGGTACCCGGGACTAATTGCAGGAGTTTGGGGAAGTAGCCCTGGGGACATGCTCAGTTTTTCTCACCTGGGGGCACAGGTTCTGGGCGTGGGGAGGCCGAGACAAGGGAGTGCATCTACTACAACGCCAACTGGGAGCTGGAGCGCACCAACCAGAGCGGCCTGGAGCGCTGCGAGGGCGAGCAGGACAAGCGGCTGCACTGCTACGCCTCCTGGCGCAACAGCTCGGGCACCATCGAGCTTGTCAAGAAGGGCTGCTGGCTGGACGACTTCAACTGCTACGACAGGTACTCTCCAAGCACCTGTCCTCTGCTGAAGCCTGCCTGTGCTTGTGCTGCCTGCTGGGCTGTGCAGGTCTCAGGATGTCTGGGTGACAAAGGGCCTTGTAAGTGGCACTGTGTCCTAAGCCCTTCCACAACATGCTTGCCCTGTCTTAGCTCTGCGGAGGGTGTTGGTGCATGTCAGTTCCTGGCTGTCACTCAACTTCGGGTCATACTTTAGGGAGTGGGTCCCACTGTCCCACTGAAGTTATCAATGACGTGTGTCTGTGGGGAGGAGTTTGCACAGGCCTGGGAGAGTCTCCATTGCCCTGCCGGAAGGGGTGTAAGGAAAACTCTGCCTTCAGGCAGGAGTGTGTGGCCACCGAGGAGAACCCCCAAGTGTATTTCTGCTGCTGTGAAGGCAACTTCTGCAACGAGCGCTTCACCCACCTGCCGGAAGCAGGGGGCCCAGAAGGTGAGGGGCCAGTGGGAAGAGGGGTCCTGACCCAGCAGATGGGGGCCTCTCCTTAGCCTAGAGTGCTCAGCTGTCAGCTGGGTGGGGAGTGGCTGCAGGGCTTTCTGGAGGAGTGGTTGTGGGCATACTGTGTGATACAGGGCTTCATGTGTCCCCCAGTCACGTACGAGCCACCCCCGACAGCCCCCACCCTGCTCACGGTGCTGGCCTACTCGCTGCTGCCCATTGGGGGCCTCTCCCTCATTGTCCTGCTGGCCTTCTGGATGTATCGACATCGCAAGCCCCCCTATGGCCATGTGGATATCCATGAGGTGAGATGGTACAGGCTTGGGGCAGAGCAAGGCGGGGGAGCTGCAGGAGTCCAGACCCCATTAAACTCTTAATCTTCCAGGACCCTGGGCCTCCGCCTCCATCCCCTCTGGTGGGCCTGAAGCCACTGCAGCTGTTGGAGATCAAGGCTCGGGGGCGCTTTGGCTGTGTTTGGAAGGCCCAGCTCATGAACGACTTTGTGGCTGTTAAGATCTTTCCACTCCAGGTGAGTGAGGGATTCTAGATCATTCTGCCTAACCATGACTGGTAATGGGCTGTCCAAGCTCTGGAGGCGCAGTGAGATGAGATAGAAACGGCCTCACTAGGTAGGAATGGTCACTTACATCATTCTTGGCTGGTCCAAGGACTGTATGCAGCAGTAAATTTCCTTCGTAAGATTGAACTAGGGTTTTGCCCAACTTTGATCTGCTTCAATTCCCAGGCTTTTGATTTCAACAGTGTGATCTGCTCAGAGATTCTAGGCACAGGCTGCTGCAGGCAGTTGCCCAAGACACTTAGCAAAAGCAGGCCTGGCTGTGCCTTTTACTTGTTGGGTGACACTGAGCAGCTTACTCAGTTGCTCTGGGTTGGGACCCAGTGGTTCCCAGTGGATCATGGTGCTGGGATCATGCTGAAGTGATCTTGGGACTGCTGTTAGCCAGGTGCTCCTGAACCCAGCCCTGTGCTGCTCTCCTGGCCCCTATGGATGCTGAGCTGGCATGCCAGGGTGCAGACAGGGTGAGTGTCCCCTCCTACTGGGACCTTGTGGCTGAGCTTCTTTCTGCCTTAGGACAAGCAGTCATGGCAGAGTGAACGAGAGATCTTCAGCACACCTGGCATGAAGCACGAGAACTTGTTGCAGTTCATTGCTGCCGAGAAGCGAGGCTCCAACCTCGAGGTGGAGCTGTGGCTCATCACGGCCTTCCATGACAAGGTGAGCCAGGTCCATCAGTTGGACCTGAGAAAAGGTGAAGAGGTCCCTGTTGTGGTGTCCATGATGAGGGAGCCTGTGTCATAGGTGTCTCTTCAGTGAGAACCCTGAACCTGGATTGATTACTTTGACAGAATATGTTCCTCCCAGGTCTGGGCTGGGCTGGGTTAGGTCCTATTCCACACCCAGAGCCTGTGCGCAGCCCTAACCCGTGCTGCCTTCTCTCAGGGCTCCCTCACGGATTACCTCAAGGGGAACATCATCACGTGGAATGAACTGTGTCACGTGGCAGAGACGATGTCGCGAGGCCTCTCGTACCTGCATGAGGATGTACCTTGGTGCCGTGGCGAGGGCCACAAGCCGTCTATCGCCCACAGGTACGTGGGTTAGCAGGGGTCCTGCCTGCCCTTGGCCTGGAGCAGCACAGAGTAAGGTTAGTGGATGGGCTGTCTCAGTTTTCTAAGCGCACTCACTGTGTGTTCATGGTGTGGCAGAACAACTAAACGCACAACCTGGCCCTTATCTGTGTCTTGGGATGGCATGGCCTCCCAAATGGTTTCTGGTGCCCTCTAATGGTGACACGCGACGGTGCTGGCTTCATTACATGGGGGACAGTTGGTTTATCAGTCTCCAGCTGTTTTGGTTAGGACCCGTTATGCTGTTACAGTGAGGTTTTGGATATGTAGGTCAATCTACTGGAATTTGCTGGTGTAGAACATACATATTCTGTTACCTGTTTGAGACGACATCCTCTGTCACGTAGATACCTCAGAAGTCCTTTCTGTACTCCTGAAAGATGAGCTTAGAAAAGGCACATGGTGAAGTACAAAGAAAATTTTAACAGTGATCTCCTGAAACAGTCTCAGGGACCTCCTGGGGTCGTTGAAGCACATTTTGAAAACCTCCGTGTTAGCTATGTATGCTTGTAATCCCAGCACGCTGAGAAGTTGAGGCAAGAGGATTGGAACTGGAACCCTGGGCAGCTTATAACTTAGTAAGATCCTGTTTTAAAATAAAACGGAAAAGTAGGCCTGGCAATGCAGCTCAGTGCAGAGGCCCCGAGTTCAATCCCTGGTATCACCAAACAAAAACAAAAACAAAACGACTCTGTGTTAACTTAGCCCTGTTGTGCTCTACTGAATGCCTATCATACCCTAAATGCTGTGAGAACTACCAGCTCGGCTGACCTCAGCACGGCTTTGTGAGGTAGAAACTTGCCTTCTTTGTCCCATCTTACCAGTGAAGGGACAGTATTGGAGAGACTTGAGTAACTAATGAGAGTGTCGTGCTACTGGGGCTCCATGCGTCTGAAGAAGGGGAAGAAGCCCTGAATTCTAGACTTCAACGTTAAAGGAGTGGTGATGATGTCAACAGTAATGACTCAGAAGGTTGACTGTGGAATTGCCACTTCTGTGGGTCAAAAGGTTGACTGTTGACTCTTCTGTCTGGTTCAGTATAAGAGTAATGCATTGTAAGTGTGCCAGGGTGGCCCAAAGCTTTCTGGGTATTATTCAGTTGAATCGCCCCCAGCAAGGCTGAGACAGGGCTGGGAGAGCTGAGGACTCAAAGTAGCAGTTTTGGTATGGGGTGGAGCTGCGCAAACATCAGAACCCTGCTGCTTTCCCCTGTGCAGCTTGCGTAAGAACTTAGATGAGCTGATACTAAATTTGTGCTTTCATCCACATTCTAAATATTGTAACTATTTCTAGAAAGGGCAGTTGACCTGTCTCCGACCCCTCTGAGAATGTTTGGGTTGGCTGTTGATACTTTGGGGCCTGCGACAGGGTCTGTCTAGCCATTGGCATAGGAATAGCTTTGCCAGCCTTCATGGAAGCCTTCTACCCAAGGCCACCAGGAATTCCCACCCCTGTGTGGGCTCCTGAAGATGCCTCACTTCTGTACCCTGGCACAGAGTCTGCCCTCCAGATGAGGTTGTGTGGCACAGACTCAGGATCTTGAAAGCAAGATGGTTTTCAGGTGCTGTTCTATGTCATCTGGGCCCACGTGTCTCCACAGGGACTTTAAGAGCAAGAATGTATTGCTGAAGAGTGACCTCACAGCTGTGCTGGCTGACTTTGGCCTGGCCGTTCGGTTTGAGCCAGGGAAACCACCAGGGGACACCCACGGCCAGGTACCAGTCCTGGGCGGGCAATGGGGGGCTGGCCTGGGCAATGCTGTGATGTTCAGTTGGTGAGATGAGGGCAAGGGTCACTTCAAGAATGCAGAGCTCTCAGAAAATAGGGCCCTACTATACCTGCGTAAGTCAGGCCTGGGTTGATAAGGCTTCCCTGGACCACTGGGATTTTAGCCACTTAGCTTTGTAGTCTCAGTGTCTTGTTCAACCATAATTATTAAACAGGATGAAACAGAAAGATGGCTGGACTTGGCGGCACACTCAGGAGACTGAGGCAAGGATGAACACTGAGTTGAGGTCAACCTGGGCCACTTAATAAGACTGCATCTCAACAACAACAGCAACAAAAGTACTAAGTTCCAGGACAGGAATCTAAAAAAAGTAACTAAAAATTAAACCTAGCACACTGTCCTAAAACAATCCGCTGATGATATTTTTAAGTGCTCTCCCTGCCTTTTATTTTAGTCTTAATCTCAGTAAAATACATGTATTTGGTGTAGCCCTTGTGGCATCGCTGTGGCAGTCTGCTAACAATTCCATGAAGTTATTATCAGGTGTAACACACCTCTGCTGTGAATGCAGTGACTCAGGGCTGACATGACGATCATTGGTACCCTGTCTGAAGCCACCTCCATTCTCTATTGGGTGTGCATAGGCTGCAGCTGGCCTGCCCAGTGGTGTGTCTGCTTGTACGTGGCCAGTCTCTGTGAACCCTCCCCTCCTCCGTCCTCATGTAGGTAGGCACCAGACGGTACATGGCGCCCGAGGTGCTAGAGGGCGCTATCAACTTCCAACGAGACGCCTTCCTGCGCATCGACATGTACGCTATGGGCCTGGTGCTCTGGGAGCTTGTGTCTCGCTGTAAGGCTGCAGATGGTGAGTGGCATGATGGCTTTGGACCTCTCAACTGGGGTTTGGGAGCTGCCAGGCCTTGCGGTGATCCCACTAGGTTTTCTCTCTTAGGACCTGTGGATGAGTATATGCTTCCCTTTGAGGAAGAGATTGGCCAGCACCCTTCTCTAGAGGAGCTGCAGGAGGTGGTTGTGCACAAGAAGATGAGGCCTACCATTAAGGATCACTGGCTGAAGCACCCGGTGAGGGGCTTCATAGAAGGAAGGGGCTTCTGTGTGTGGGAGGAGCCTGAGATCGAGGGGGATCTGTGTGGGGCACAGAGGCAGGTCCCCATGCTCCCTGGGCCCTAGGAAGGTGGCTGTGGGTATGAGGAATAAGCTAAGATGATGCCCACTTCGGTCTCCCTTGTGACTGACAGGCCTGTGTATTTGGACTCTGTAGAAGATTGATTCAGGGTGTTTGCCCGAGGAGGGGCCTAGTGGCTCTGTGAACCCTTCTTGGGGCTGTGGAGGTGGGTGCGCTCAGGGTGGCGGTTGCCAAGACGACAGGCATCCTGATGATCACAGGTCACCCTAGTCCCAGCTGGAGGGTGGGCGCTGAGGAGCATTAGCAAGTTTGCTGTCCCCCCATGCTCGTCCTCACTTAGGGGGTGTGACGAGGCTGTCTTTCTCCTGTCCTTTCCCACTGTTCAGGGCCTGGCCCAGCTCTGCGTGACCATCGAGGAGTGCTGGGACCACGATGCAGAGGCTCGCCTGTCTGCGGGCTGTGTGGAGGAGCGAGTATCCCTGATCCGGAGGTCGGTCAACGGCACTACCTCGGACTGTCTTGTCTCCTTGGTGACCTCCGTCACCAATGTGGACCTGCCCCCTAAGGAGTCCAGCATCTAATAAGCCCAGGATGTGTCTCTCCAGACTCAGCGGATCTGAAGAAAAAAAGTTGTGTTTTGTTTTGGAAATCTTATAAAACCAACAAACACATAAAATGCAGCTGCTATTTTACCTTGACTTTTTATTATTATTATAATTATTATAATTATTATTATTAATATTATTTTTGGATTGGATCAGTTTTTACCAGCATATTGCTCTACTGTATTGTGAACAGTGGACACGTCAGCAGGCGCTGAGGTGCTGAGCTGTGAATGCAGAACCAGCGCTGTGCTGAAGAGCCTCGGCCACCTCCTGTCCTTGGGGAGTCATTTTCCCACTTTCTCTTCATTTGTTGTCTCAGAATCTGTGACACAAAGAAACCCATCTCCTGTCTTAGGAAACTTAATGCTGCAAACTCTACTAGAGGAAACTTTGAAGACTGTTACATAAAAATATACCTTCCTCAGAAGAGGCTTTCCTCCCCTCCACTCGTACCCCACTCCCCACCTTTATTTTGTGTTTCTCCCTTTCTAGGCAGTGAGCTAAGAAACAGCAGATGTGTCTTTCACGGATCTAACGGGTGTGTCCTGACCAAGGAGAACTGGGCTGAGGACAAAGGATGGTTTGGACTGGAGTTGGGAGGGGAGGAAGTGCTGGGTGGGGGTTGGAACAGAGCTACACTGGACTCGGGCACAGGCGAGCAACATCCTTTGCTGTGGAGGCTGCTTCTCAGGTAACCAGGAATCGAGGGCAAGGATCGTATGTGCCGAGCATTAATGGCAATGTGGGGTCTGGAGAAAGTGAGACCCGGGCGGCTCAGGGTCCCGACCAGTGTTTTTCCAGTAACTTTTGGGCATGGCCGTAAGATGAAACATTTCTTTCTGTCCAGATTTTAAGATGACGCCAGGGCAGAAACCATGATTTCGTGGACATTCTTCATAAGATGCAATTCTGTAAATATCTTTAATGGAGGAAAAATGAAACCCTGCTTCCTCCTAGAGCTAGCAGTTCGCAAAATGCCCCTGGGGCCCCTGACAGCTGGGGCTAGTGGGTCCCTGAGCAGCTCCCGGGAGCTGCACCTCTGGCTCTGGCTCCGCCCTTCCTGTGGCTGGTGGTGCAGCTTCTCCAGACCCTTGAAGTGGTGCAGAGCCTAAACAACTCCATATTTTGCCATAACCTTGCTCTAGTCAGCGAATGTTCCTGATGCTGCTGTTTCGACGTTTGAACTTTTTAATTTATGGAACATACTAAATTTGTTTTCGACAAAACGTACACATCTACATATACACACAAGCTTTGCTATGTGGCTTCCGAGGTTTAAATTTTAAGAAAAAAGAATTAAAACTTCACGACCACAGACCACCTCAAACCAGAAATACCTCAGAATTTTCTACTTGTATAAGTTTTATTATGTATTTTTGTTAGTTGTGTTGTCTTGTAGTAAGTATATTTTAATGTAAGTTGGCTTTTATGACAAGGAAGTTTTAAAAATAGAGAAAACACATTTGTGTCTTTTAGGGAGTACTACTATTTTTGTTTGATAAAACCCCCTTGTAAATATTTGTCATTGGCTGTAAGTAGGTTGGTTGTCTGGGCTGAGTCTGGGCATTTATCACTTTTGTTGGGAAGACTTTTCTGTAGACTGTTTATTTAAAAGCTTCACATCTCTTGAATCTTTATAGTGTGTATGAGTGGTTTGGGAAGGGCAAGCTTGAGCCCTGGGTGAACTGAGGGGACTTCCTCCGGGCCGAGCAGGGCTCAGATGTTGCCTGAGACTCGACGGGTCAGTGTTGAGAATGACAGCTCCACTTGAGCTTGGTGGAAGTGGCCACTAGGCCCACATGAATTAATTTTACTTGAGATCTAACTCCTTCAGGTCAGTGGTGGTGTCCCTGAGGAGATGGGCAGTGCTTGCCTGCGGTTCTAGAGGAGGGCACCTGGGTGCAGGGTCTTGCCCTTTGCTGGCCCCTGCGTCCTGCTCAGTGTGCTGTGTGTGGCATCTCAGCCTACTGTGGCGGTGGCCGTTGCTCTGGGGTGGGGCTCAGGGTGCTGGAGGAAGCTAGTTTGCTCCCCTCAGAGCTCGGTGTGTGCTTCACGGGTCAACATGTGGTCTGGCCAGATGGTTATGGGGACAGGCGTTTTGTTTTTGTTTTTGTAAGCTATGTTGTCGTTTCCCTCAGAATAAGTTTAAACCACAAAGCAGGCCTTACAGCAGTTGCTTTTCTTTGCCACTTGTTTCTTTACGAAGCTTTAAAGTATTTATTGAAAAGTGCCATATCTACTTTCTTTAGCTTTCTTCTCAGGCAGTGGGGGCATCTCTACTTTTCTCCCTCAGAAGAAACAAAATTAGCAATTCACTAAAGGAATAATCAGATCACCAACCCTACCTAGTGCCAAACACTCAACCCCAGCTTTCTCTTTGGTTTTAGGTTTCCTCTGGGTGCTTTTCCCATCTGTGCTGGTTGGATTCGTGGAGGTGTTGCCTGGCTGAGGCAGTGTTGAGCTGTGGCTCTGATGTGGACTCTTCAGTCAGGACACAGTGCAGCAGGCTCGCCTGATGTCTTTCCTCTTGAGTGGCTTCCTTCTTCCTTGACTCTGTGCCTAGATGCTGAAGTGTCCCTGTGGAGCCTTGCCATCAGAATGAAGTGCCAGGAGTTGGTACCTGTTTGGCGTGGCTGGGTAAAGGGAGAGACTGAGGGTCTGTGTCTAGGGAGTCAGTCTGTCGCTTCCCTTATGCCGTGGTGTAGAATGTGCTCCTCTATGTATACCTGGTTGCCAATGCTAAAAGATGGGTGATTTCCTTCTAGGGGGTGGCTCTGGGGGCTCCTTTGCCCAAAGTGTCTGCTGTCACGTGCTGTCTGAGGAGAGCCCTAAGTTTGCATTGATGATGATGGCAGTTGGGTCACAGGGCCTCTGCCTGTGCTGTTTTCCACATGCCATGCAATGTCCATTTTGAGAAACTCAGAGAATTCTTTTTTTTTTTTTTTTTTTTTGCTTGAAGTACTGTGGACCATGAGTCCAGTGTGGCCTGTCATCTTTCCTCGCCCATGGGAGGGGCTGTTGTATCCAGGTGACAGAGATGCAGCCAAGGATCCTTGCTCCTTCCTTTCCAGTGTAGAGTTGTCTAAGCAGGCTTCTGATGAGGATGAGCTTTCTCAGAGACTGTGTTGCTTGAAAGCACCTGTGAGAACAGTGTAACGTCATGGATAGTTAGAGAAACCCAGGATGAGCCAGGTAAAAACAAGAGCCACTGTGTCATAGGGGCCTGCAGGTGGCCCTGAGTGACGAGGGAACCCCATGGACATAGTCACCAGAGCACCCTGGGACCATGGTAGAGCTGTTGTTTTCCTAGGACCATTGGTCTGTAGCATTAGGAGGCAAGGGATATAGATGGGATCTTCAGGGGAGAAGGGGACCTGGCCGGCTGCAAGGCAAAATGGTGCCAGCTGCTTTTGACTCTGAATTCTTTCTGTCTGTACTCGGGGGTGTGAGGGCAGAAAGAAGACATTGCCTAGCTCTGTATATCTGTAGGAGGCAAGGGCCTCATCCTCTGCAGGTCACAAAGCTTGCCTGGAGAAGGACAGGGCTCGATGATTTAGAAAGTGCAGTATGTGATTTTGTAGTTTTCTCTGTGGCCTATTCTATTTGGCTATGTTCTTATCACCTCTCAGGCTCTGTGTGTGGCTTTTCTCTTGGAAGCCCACCTGTGTATTGACTGTCCTTGTGCTCTGGCTGAGAAGGTCTGTCATGTGGCCTCGGGGCTTGAGACAGGAAGGCAGTCCCATCCAGAGTGGGAAGACCAGATGGCTGCCTCATAACAGAACTGTGCCTTTTTAATGTAGTGTAAAATTTCTAAGCACTTACTGATAATACAAGGATTGGCATTTGGTTTTCTCTTCCCTAAATCATTAGTAAGCAGAAGTTTTTAGACTCTGTACTAGAGGTACAGTCGTTATTCTAAAGAATTTGGCTTGCCAGCAAAATAGCTAAATTGGAAAGCGGTTTCCAGTAGTTCTTTCAGTTTGATCTTTAGTCTTAGCTGTCTTAGGCTGTTGGATTTCAGTGGCACGTCTTTGGAGAGAAAGCCAGGCCTGGCTACATCTGTGGGTATGAGAACACACCTTTCTGAGCCACCCAGCACATCTCCTCATCGCTGTGGTCCTCCAGAGGAACTGCCAGAGAAGGGGGCAAGGTGGCTTCTTAGTTTGCTAAGGGAAATTTCCTTGGTCAGTATCTGTGAAAAAAACTAAACTAATAAAATACTCAGCAGCTAATGTGTCAGGAGGAATGAGGAGTTTAACTCTACATCAATATTGTCTTTTAGATAAAAGGCCCAATACTTCAGTAGATGAACTGTGTATCTTCTCAGTCTAGATTTTAAAGGTTTAATGCATTCAGGGTTACACACATGGTTCTTTAGGTAAGATTTGGGTAGTTGATTTGTAACTAGCAGTCTACCTGTGAATGTGTCCCAGACCTTTAGAAAACTTGGAAAAGTTTTTTGAGATAATAATTTAGTTTTGTAGAAAAAAAAGTTCAAACACTCCCTTGGAAATTAATTCAGTTAACCAACCACATTTTAAAAAATAATTTGAGTTCCAAAGGCCCAGCAAGCTACATGAGGTGTCACCTACCTATAATTCTAGCATTTAGAAGGCTGAAGCAGGAGGCTCATCACAAGTTTAAGGTCAGGTTGGGCTACATAGAGAGCTCAAGGTCAGCCTGAACTACATAGCAAGACTTTGTCTCAAAAAAAAAAAAACCCCATCAGACTAGCAACATGTAAAAGTCCAAATTATTTAGGGGGCTATTTTGAGTGTTGCTATTTTATACCCTCTCTGGGTTCACTGTGAACTTTGGTTTTGATAAGAGAACTTCCAATTACTCACACACCAAGTCCTGGAGATTAAATCCAGGACCTTCATACTGAGCTTCAACCCCAGCTCTTTAATTTTAATTTTGTATTTAGAGGCTGAGTTTCACTGTAAGTGGCTAACTTGTCTGAGTTGGTCCTAAACTTGGGATCTTCATGTCTCAGCCTTTTAGAGTGCTATAAGAAGGCACCACCGCACCTGACCTTGAATGAAACTTTAAATTGAAGGAATTTATCATTATTTCCGTTTGTCTGGGGTTTAACATTTTCATGGTGGTATCTTCCAGGTATGAATGAATGTGGTACGCTCTGTATCCCTGTAGTGCCAGAACCAGTGATGGCTTCATTTGCTCCTATGGCAGCGCATAGACATAACAGAGTAGTTTCTGCTAAGGAATGAACATGCGTGTTCTCTAAATACCTGTGTGGTGACAGGCTCTGCACTGACATTTTTCCCTCCGGGGCAGGGTTGTATTGTCTAGGTCAGTGATGGCAAACCTTTCAGAGCTTTCAGTGGTAACAAACAGCCAGCTGTGACATTGCACCATGGGTTTGCATACACTGGGCTAAGGCTTAGACAATTCTTACAACTGTTGTAAACCAGCATGGGGCACTAAAAACATATACACAAGGCCACATGGATATATGCAGTGTGTATTGGATGCCTGCAGAAAAGTGTTACATTCATTTGCAAAGTTTAGGTTTTTAAGCTCAACAGTTACGAAAAATGTGATCCATTAGTGTTTCAGGCCAATGAGGATGGGTTTTTGTGAATGAGTGAATTCTGTCTTAAGTCTTGGAAACTTGCACTCTTGGTTGGGTATGGGCCCATTCCCTGACTTTCTAGTCATGTTTGCATCAATGTTGTTAGATAGCCTTGTAAATAAAAGAATAGGTTATATAAGAGAGACACAACACTTGAAATTTTACTTTAAAAATCTATAGCTCTACATATATATTTAGTTATGTCACCCGACAGATTTCTTCTACACAGTGTGGAGATTGTTTTATACCACAGATTATTTTTATAAAGCCTAGTGAGTTTGAATAAGAATGCTTTTGTAATCCGAGCTGATGAGCTTTACCTTTCAAGATAAGCATACACTGGAGCATGAGTGGTGTGCAACTGTTAGTGCTCACATGAACTCCTGTATACACTGGAGCCTACAGTCAGCTTGTCGGTCTCCTTTGGCCAGAACTCCTTTTGGGGCAGTGTAGCAGAGCCAGGCTTCAGTGTGGCTCCTTGCGGATTGGGAGGGAATGGGCTGGGAGAGGGAAGTGTGTGTGACTTTCGTGCTTCCTCCTGAAATTTCCTTTTGAACAAAGGATTCTGAAATGAATGATTCATTTGTAAGTTCTTATCACAAAATATAATTGCATGAGAGTATTTGGGGGAACACACTGTGTGGGGGTGCACACTGGGGTAGGACAGGGCTGGAATAAATACGATTTAGGTTAATATGAAATAAGGATTTGGTGTTTCTAGTTCCACCAAATTGAACTATCTAGGACCAGATTTTCCAGTCGAGTAATTCTTCAGAAACAGGACCCAGTGATCCTGTTAAATGGAGAACTGCCAGTACATGTGTCTCCTATGGTCAGCGCTGTTGTGGAGATGAGAGTGGCTGGGCTGGCTCACTGTCCAGCAACAGAGGAAGCCCTCCACGTGTCCACAGAGCTCCCGCCAAGCTCAGCGTTACTGCCACTGTGTGGGAGGTGGTCTTCACTTCAGCCTTTTTTCAGGTAGATGGTTATTTGGGGGGAACTCTTGCAGGGGAAAGGGAAGAGAATAAGCTAAATTGTAGTACTCTCTGAGGTTAAGGTGAAGACTTGTCCCCCATATCCTGCCTGCTGGCTTCAGGCTGTGGCTTCCAGAGGGACACTGGATGTAGTTTTGTTAAAAACACTCTTTTATGTCATTTTAAAATAGTCTGTTCATTCTGCTTTAGAGGTTAGTTTTACACTTCAGCCCTTTTATACTGTATCTACCACCCCAGGAATCAACTTAGCTTTGGATCTAGCACTCCAGGAATCAACCCATCACTGTTTTTTCTGTTCCCCATACGAGAACATTTCTTGCTCTCCAGCCACCTGTCTAGGAATGTAATTCTGTTGTGCCTTTGTTTTTGTCACCCACTTCCCCCAAAAGCAACTGCTGTAAGCTTTTGTCCTCCGTGTCTTTTGTAGTCCCAAGCCTTTCTTCCTTTCTCCTGGCTCTAATTTCTGGATACACTTCTGTGATCCAGGTATTTTAAGAACCACTTACCTCAGACCTTAAGTTGAACAGTGTCACCATCCGGGTCCTCTTGATACTGCAGATTTAACATCATACGCAGGAGCCCTGCCTTGTGGAGGCACTTGTTTCAAAGCAGAACTCTCTCCCAGGACTGACACGGGAGCTTCTGGCGAGCTTACCCTAGTACTGTGCAGGGTTGCCGTGGAGAGTCGCCTGAGCTCCTCTGAGTTCTGCCGTTTTCAGTATTCTCATGCCTGTCCAAAGAGGCAAAACAACTTGACTGGCTGGTCTTACATGTAAATTAGTTCCAAAGATGAGCTCTTTATAACACAATTCTAGTTGCTAAAGCTCAAATGTAGAACATTCCTTTAAATGGCAAGATAAAAACCCACCATCCACCACAGTGCATTTTGGGAAGGTACTTATAGCTTATGTGCTGTGAAATCAGGCTTTGTGGGATATGGCTGTTTGTCATTGTGACGTATTTTAAATAAATATTTTTAAAGAGCCTTTTCTACCATTTCAAAAGCTTAATAAACCAGCAGTCACACCTGAATTTTTGTCTCTGAGGCATACATGGCAGACCAAGATTAAAAGTAGTAACAGCATGTGAGCCACATGCCTGGGCTGTCCTGCTGTCCTGCTAAGCATGGACACTGCGAGCAGTGTGCTCCCAGCAGGCCCCAGCTCAGCCTTCTGAGTGTTGGGTTCTGCCCTTTCAGTGGACTGTGGACTTCAGTCCCTGAAATGCTTTAGCCCAAGTGAGGGTTTCTCAGAGCACTGCCACAAATTAAGTGTATGTTTAGCCAAATAATTTTTCCATAAGGGAAAATACAGTCATCTGAATTTCACCAACAGTGACACAGAGAAGAGTAGGAAAGATCAGGTAACATCTGAATTTTAATTTGAAAAGTGTTGAAGTCCTTGCCAGGAGCCATCTAGGAGCAAGGGGTTGTTGGGAGGTTCTTCAGGAGACTCCATTTGAAATGCTAAGACCACCAGCGAGGGAATCAGTTGTTTCAATGAGAGCGACTTTTTCCCCCTCTTTTTTCTAGAATTCTGTAAAAATGCAACGGAAATTGAGTAGAATTGAAGGAGAGGGTTACCGCAGATGAGAACATGTTTCTAGATTTCAGTCCCACATCACAAACTCACATACTGCCATTTTTCAACTGTACAAAAGAATCTGCTTAGAGATTTGACATGATCTTAATGGTAATGGCAAAGGCCAAAGTTTTCACCTGTTATATTTTCCACATTTGTCCTTGAATCTAAATAACTATACAGTACTGTAAATTTAACTTACATTGCATTTGATGTCAACTCTTGTGAAAAGAGCTTTCTGCATGTGATAGACATTGAATTAAAGAACACGGCAGAGTATAAAACTTGCAGGAACAGTTTTGAGTCAACAGAAAATGCCACCTTTTATTTAACATCTTGTATGTCAGTTTTACCAGCTACTTCTAAATTTGTACATTATTTGTAAGGAAAAGAAGGCAAACCCTAAGACTTGTCTAACTTAGTAGAGAATGTGTGTGTTGGGCTTAGGATGGTAGCTGAGTCTTACTGGGCTGTGTTATCTAACTTGTACAAATTGTAATTAAGAGTTTGGATTCATCTGTTTCTCACAATTTAAAATGAGGAGTAACCACAGACTCTGGAATTGTGACTGGTATATGATTTAAGGTTTTAGACGTGAGGAAGCTCTTGCAAGTGATAAAAATAAAGACTTCTAGTTTTTGGCTCAAAATCAATAAGTACTGTTTGTATACCAGGATATGTGAGATGTAAATGTAGTAGGTCACTTTTCACCCTTGTAGCTATAAAATAAAAATTTTGTAGGACAGAAATAGCTTGTACTACTGAATTAACAAAAGTTACACTAAAGTATCCTGTTTTAAAATATATGCATATATATATACAGAGTTAAGCTTGTGCTGTTACCCTGTCTGAATTTGAAAAATGTGCCGATTTATATATATATATTACACACACGTACACACATGCACTCACGTGCACCCATCTAAAATGGCCTGAAGCAGACGTCTGTGTAATTACAGTTGCAAAATGAAGCATTTTGGAAAGAACATTGTATAATAGTTCATTCATTTGCAGTGGATCTTTGTTCCTTTTTACTGTGGTAATTTTAGAAATGAGTGTCAAGTTTGAAATTAGCTCTGCTAAGTTGGGGTTTTGCTGCTTAAACTCTGCACTGGGTCCTCAAACCGATGTGAATGTAGTCCTCCCACCCCTTCCCTGTGTGAAGAAGCAGCCACACCCCAACAGATAGGAGGAAAAATCTAGAACTATTTCAAGTTTATCTTTTTGTATATGAAAATAAAATAATCATAATAAAACAACTTTGTTGTTTCTATTAATTATGTGGTAGTGGATTGAAGTTTCATTTCATTCGGATTTGAAAAATACATAATTTTCCCGCCGGTAAGGCTGGCTAGAGACAGCCTGCCAATTGCTGCTGGTTGCACATGGAGCTGTTGATGGCAGAGGGCCGCTCGACTGTGACCTGTGTGCCAGAGCCCGCACAGGGCTCCATTTCTGCCATCCAGGCGGCCTGGGCCTCCAGAGACAGGATGGGAGTCTCCAACCTGGATCATTCTGGGACTCTGGGTAAAGTTCTTGCAGGGCATAGGTGTGTGTTCCAAATCTCCCAAGAGCCCAGCCTCTCCATATTCCTATGCTTTACAGACAAGCCTTGAAAATGTATGGAAAACCTGCAGAATACAAGCTTTGTCTTTCTCAGACTTGGTTGAGTACCAGGGTCACTTGTTGAGATACTAAAACAATTCAGTTCTGAGGCCCCACTCCAGACTTTGATTTAGCAAACCTAGTCCCATCTTTAGGAGACCTTGACTTAATCTCACTAAATAAAAACATGGGTAAGGACCCATAATAAAATAATGGTAATCTCTTGTATCTAACCAAGAAAACAGGAAACCCTCAGAAACTACCAGGTTGGCCTGCAGAAAGTTGAGGGCTTAAGCTAACACTTGTCTATGTGGAGAAACATCATCTTTGAGTCTTCCTTTTGGCAAGTTTAATGCCTTTTAATTCAGCTTTCATTATGAGAATCTCCAATCTGCTTAAAACTCCTGGAAAAATACTTTTGATCTAGATGCCCTTTATTTAGGGACCACTTGTCCAACCCTGTGGCCCATTCTGATGTTTCAGATTTAGAAAGTTCATTTGTTATTCATGTGTACCCCTAATGAGTAGAGACAAGGAAAGGAACACAGAAAGTAGATGTTTAAAAAACAGATCTTGGAGCTATAAAAGCTGAGAGCTTGGCCCCTAGGGCTCCTCTGCTCTGTTTTTCCTTCAGCAAACATACTTTCACTAAAAGAAATTTGACACAAGGTAGGTTTAGGAAAGCAGATGTGTCTGAGACAGCAGTGGAGGAGGCTTGGGCCATTCAACCTGCCCTTCCATCCCTTAAGGCTCAAGCAGTGCCGTGGAGCACTAGGGTTTCCCTGGTCGGTTTCTAAACTGGTCCAGTATCCTCATTTTATAGGCAGCAAAAAGGTCCAAAGCAAGTTTCACTCCGCAAAGGCAGGCAGCCTTTCCCATTCTTAGGGTCCAGTGGGATGCACTGTTTCCCAGTAAAGGATTTAGAGAAGGCAAACGTCATCGATCTTCTCTCTTTAGTAATTAGTACAGTGCCCTACACTTAAGGCCCTTGGAAAATGCTTAGGTGATGGTGAGCACTGTCAGAGTAGTCTCAAAGCCTAAAAAGATAGGAGTGTTGTGTTGTGTTTTCAAGAACTCTCAGTTGCAAGTAACTGAAACCGCTGGGTGAGCTGGGTGTGGTGGTGCATGCCTGTAATCCCATCACTCAAGGCTGAAGCAGAAGATCACCATGAGTTTGAGGTCAGCTTGGATTACATAGCTCAAGGCCAGCCTCAACTGCATAGACCCTTTCTGGGGAAAAAAAATCCCCAAAATAATAATAGTTGGGCAAAAAGGGGGCTCCAGTAGAAGGATCTTGGTGGAAGTACCCAGGGTGAGCTTTAGGAGCCTAGGAAGCTAGGGTCATGACATGCAGGCCACCTCCACATTTGTTTTTTGAGACCTCGCTATACAGTTTCAGCTAACCTTGTAGCTAACCAGGCTAGCCTCAAAACTCATGATCCTCCTGCCTCAGCCTTCTGAGTGTTGGGGTTGTAGGTGTGAACCACCATGCCTGGCTCTGCCTTTACTTTGTCTCAACAATTTTTCCATTGTTCAGTGACACAACTAGGAACATCTATTCATTTGTCTCCTTAATGGGAACCTGTAGGTGTAGGTATTGCCACAATCTGGTAAGTCAAAGATTTGCTTCCTGGAGAGTGCTGGATCCAAGATCCCTAGAAAGAACTCTGGTTCATATAGTTCAGTGCAATCACGGGATTATACAACAGGACTTCACAGGAGATAGTGCTAGAGAGGGGGACAGCCTGTTTGAAGCTATCAGAACTACGTGCAGTCGTTTGGTGGTTAGAAATGGCTTCTTGCTAAGTGATCATCATTTAGGTAAAAAGCATTGCTAAGAGATAGAAACGTGAAGGTTTCCAGGGAACTAAATCCACATGGAAAGCTGGAGATTGTGATGCAAAATGAAGGACATTTATGAGTGGCAGTTTATGAAATGCATGTGTGGTAAAGTGGGCTTTAAGGAATATTACAGTGAAACACATGACCATTAACTGCACTTTAAAAATACTTTCATCTTACTTTTCTCATGTTGCTGAGACAAAATAGTCAATGCCCCAAAGGAAGGAGAGGTTTAGCTCACAGTTCATGGAGGTTTCAGTCCATACTCAGCTGGCTCCAAGGTCGGGTGGCACAAGGTGGTGGGGGAACAATTCATGGTGGCAGAAGACAGCAAACGTAACAAGAATAAAACAGGGAAGGACTGTTTTCCTTCCTTATATTGTATGCAAGCTGCCTACCCTACGATGGACTGAGCACTCACTCCTCCAATCACAGCACTAGACACTGAACCAATCACAAACTCTATATTTAGCTGCTTTCAAAAAGCCCTTCCCAGGCTGGGGATTTAGCTCAGCGGCATAAGGGCCTGCCTTGCAAGCATGAGGTTACAAGTTAATCTCTGGTACAAAAAAGGAAAAAAACAAGCCCTTCCCCCATGACTGCATGAGGCTTTGGAGGGACATTAAACACAAACCATAACATCCACCTTGCTTCAACACACTGACCACTTTCTGAAGCACTTCTGGGAGTCCTCTTTTATGAGTGTTTTTAGCTGTGCTGTTGAGGATGCTCAATTCAAAATGTTTAGCTTGCAGGGTCAGTGGCAGAAGTTGCATGGTGCCAGATTTAGAACCAGAGCCAGTGAGAAGGTTGATGAGGACACACCTTATTTAATAACCATAATGATTTTGACAGAAATTGTCATAAATGGTTGGTCAATGAGGGATGCTCAAAATTATAGTGACTGAAGTTTATTACAATAAGACATCATTAAGCCTATTCAAAATACCCTCTCCCCATACACACTTGGAACACACATCCGATCGTTCTTGGCAATGTGTCCTTAATGAGACTTTAAAAAAAAATTTTTTTTTTACTTTTTTTTTTTTGTCTTTTTCCTTTTTTATCGGTACGGGGGATTGAACTCACGACTGCCTGCTTGCAAGGCAGGTGCTTATGCCGCTGAGCTAAACCTCCAGCTCCTATGAGACTTTAAAAAAAATTTTTAAACATCCATTTTTTAATCACCCTTGCATGTCACAGACATGGACTTTATATTCTACCATGACAAAGACAGTAGAATGGCTTTATAAAATGGCTTATATTTATGGAAGTCTATGGTATCAATCCCACTTAAGAGAGGAAACAGAAGCCCAGAAAGCTGGAACAATACTCCCAAGCAGCTAAGTGGAAATTCATACTTCTGAACTCTGATCTAGGATCTTGAGCCATCACAGAGTATTATCTTGCTAAGAAACTCTAGGAAGTACAAAGCTAATTTTAAAGCTATGACTGTATATGATGTGACTTTGAAGCTAGGGGTCATGAGAACACTTGTGGCACAGCTGACAGCCTGTGCCACAAAATATTTTAATTTTTATATTGATTCCTATGAAGAGAATGGCCTTGGCAAATGTAAATATTAAGAGATTAAAGGCAAAGAATTTGCAAATATTTTAGGAAACATATAAATACATATATACACACAAAACGATAAAGCAAAAATAAACATTTGGGAAATCTGAAGATTTGCAACTTTCTGAATATCTGAAATTTTCAAAATAAAAGTTTTAAAATATATCACTATACTGAAAAAGTATTGGGTAACAATTTAAAGAAAAGTGATTTGAATATGATAGATCACAAAAACATTTAATCATAAATACTAAAGCTTGAAGTTTGAAACAGGAAACAATATTGTTTTGCAAATTAGATGAAAGGAAGAATACTAAATCAGTATGGATACTGGAAAGTAAATTACCTTTTTTATGGATATAATTGTATATTTAAAAGACCCAAGTGACAATGGGGAACACGTATTAACATTAATAAGGACATTTGGTAAGTGGCTAAAGAAAAGATAAACATACAAGAATATTTTTGAAAGAGCTAGGCGTATACATATATAGTTTAGCTCGAAGGGATTCAATCCCAGCCACACACACATTTTGGAGTCGGATCTGAGCTGGAATCTCTGCTCTGGAAGCCTTAGTGGGCCATGTGGCAGTGTTCAAGCACCTACTAAGCGATCTCAGAACTGTATTTGCACGCCATTGGCTCTCGAGCCGTCATACTCCCAAGTAGGACCGGCTGTGTGTGGGGAGCGCCTACTTCTCCAGCTTTGTCACTAGGGGGCGCGTCAGGCCCTCAACAGCGAGGGCGTCGGACCGGCTCGGGATTACCGCTGCGTCTCACTTTGCGCATGCGTGCCAGGGTCCCACAGGGTCGATTGGCTTTCAAGCCCCAAGCTTGGGGGGCGCATGCGCAGTGGTAGAAGCCAGTTCCTGGAGGGTGATGGCAGCCAAGAGTTTAGCTTCCCGCCTCAGAGGCTCCCGGCGTCTTCTGAGTGGCTTTGTGGCCGGGGCTGTTGTGGGCGCCGCGGGAACCGGGCTAATAGCCCTGCAGTTCTTCCGGAGTCGGGACACAGAGGCGACGTTGACTGCCAGGGAGCTGGATGGTGAGTGTTTGGGCCACCTGGGTCCCCGCAGGCCGCCTCCACCCACCGGAGCGGCGATGCCGCCCGTGTCCACCGCGAGGCCGCTGGCCACCCCCGCGCAGGCCGTGTCGGTGCCCGCCTGGGCCTGCCAGCTCCTGGCGCGGAGCCGGCGTTCGGCCAGCGTGCACCTCGGAGCAGTCCTTGTCCTCATGAGGAATCCTGCCAAGTGGGTGAATGCTGCCGCTACGGGCTCCAGCACCTGTCTCTGAGGGCAAGAAGGAGCACTCTAGTCTCCTGGACATGCAGATTTACTTGATGGAACCAGTGAGCTGTTGTGGTGGTTGCAGACTGGAAAAAGCATCCCAAGCGGATTTCCTCGAAATTGACCTGCTCTTACGTGTGTGCCTGGTTCCTTCTACTGGGAAAAACAGTACCACTTTGTTTTTGTTTTTATTTTTGCAGACAGTCTCGCTATGTAATTTAGACTGGCCTGGAACTCACGATGGAGCCCAGGCTGGTCTCGAACTTGTAGTGATCCTCCTGCTTGAGCCTAGCCAGTGCTAGGATTACAGATGAGCGCCACCACGCCCTCAACAGTATCGCTTTTACTGTTTCGCCGCACCGCACGTCCCAGTGCTTCGGTATCAGAGCCTTAAGGAGGACCACGAATGATGATCTTTTGAAAAACTTAGGCTCAGACTGCATTTGACCCTGCACCCCGTCTTAAAACCATAAATATGTAGGTTCTCTTTCATCCAGTCATATCAATGCCTAACATTCAGTAATGATGTTTTTACCGTGAGTGCTGCTTTTGTAGTTTGTGTGTTTGAGGAGGGGACAGAGAGATTTAGAAATGGCAAGAACAGTAAGATTAGTCCTTATTTATGTATTGTTATTTTATTATTATTTTTTCCGTATGGGGATTGAGTCCAAGGTGTTTGTACTGAGCTGCGTTCCCAGTTCTTTTAATTTCATTTTAAAAATTTTCAGACAGAATCTTACTAAGTTAGTTGCTCAGACTGAGCTTGAATTTGCAATTATCCTGCTTAAGCCACCCAGGAGTGCAGGAATTACAAACAAGTGGGCCACCACACCCGGCAAGATCAGTTCCTTATTTATTTTGGCTGCTGGAGACTGAACCCAAGGCCTCATGCACTCACTGAGCTACACCCTCAGCCAGGCTTGTTTTAAAAAGGCAGTAGTAGCACTTTTTCATGTTTTAATTGTACTGCCAGCTGCAGGTAAAGCCAGTACTTTTTTAAAAACTTAAATGAATAAATTAATAAATAATTGCAAAAATAAAATGTCTTGGTTGATTAGACTTTTGAGCCAGTTCTTCATAAATCTCACCCCTTGCTTATAATTTTTTGCTTTTAATAAGAGTCACTAACTTTTTTTTTTTTTTTGTCTCCCCTTTTTTTCATTTTAGGATCCATAGAAAAGGCTGTCTTGGAACAATTCGGATTCCCCTTAAGTGGCACAGAGACTAAGTGTTACACTAATCATGCTTTGTCTTATGATCAGGCAAAGCGGCTACCTAGATGGGTTCTTGAGCATATATCCAAAAGCAAGATCACGGGTAGGTGTTTAAAAGAAGATTAAAGTAATGGTATTCATGAAAGATACTTCCAGTTTAGAACACTTTAGAGGATTGTTGATAATGATTTTTACCTTTCTCACACTATATGTAGGAAACGGTATTTGTATAGCTCATTGTTTAATTGGCCCTGCTTGGCCCTTCCCAGCTGTCTCAGGGTTGAGAGGATCTTCATCTTGACACTTGTGTTGGGACGCTCCATCATTAGTATTACTACAGTGAACCTTGTTCAGTTTTTACTTCAACAAATGTTTTTAATGCCTACTATGAGTTTAGCGTTATGCTAAATCTTGGGGTTATCAATGTGGCCATAGTAGATGGTCTAAGCCCATGACACTTTGAGTTGGTGGTAGAGGTTGACATACCAAAAAAAATAATTATGAACATATAATTGATTGTAACTCTTCTGAAGGAAGCAAGTACAGTTGGTATAATTAAGGAACCGTAAAGAGCTCAGTGAGAGATTACCGTAGGAGAACATGACTGATGAGTGTGCCTCTCTAAGATTGAAGGTTATGTGGCGTTTGCCTTGATACGATTGGATGGGCTGTGGCGTGGTGAGGTGCATTCTTGGCAGAAAGCATAGTTGTGTCTTTAAAGTGGGGAAAAACTAAATGCCATAAACTAACTGGAACATGGCAAATGTGATTAAATGAGGCTGAAGAACTAGGCAGGTGCATAAATCTGTTGTGTCCTTGTATCAGAGACTCTTTAATGAATATGGCCAGACCTTGATAATTAGGTTCAAATTGGTTTCTAGGTAGATTCTTCCAGTTTACATTTCTATCCTTACTGTTTGCCCTCCTCACCCACATCTGTGCTGAGGGTTTGTTTTTTTTTTTTTTTTGGTCTTTTTGAGACAGGGTCTCGCTATGCAGTTCAGGCTGGCCTTGAGCTCACTTTGTAGTCCAGGCTGGTCTCGAACTCACAACAATTGTCCTGCCTCAGCCTCTCGAGTCCTGGGATTACAGGCATGAGCCACCACACCTGGCTGTGCTGAGTATTATTAAGCTTTGCCAATCTAAAAGCTAATTTTACTAGTGCTTATTATGGATGATTAGTAACATTTTGTGAATTATTTTTCTCTGTTAACTATTATTTACCCATTTTCAGTTGGAACGATCTTTTTCAAGTTGATTTGTGTAACTGTTATTAAGGCTTTTACCTTTTATCAAGTTATTTTTATTCCCATTTTATTTGCCTTTGAATTTCTTTGTGGCCCATGTACAACTTCTGCTTGGCTTGCTTGCTTGCTTCATTGATTTGGAACTGGAAATTGAACTCAGGAATTTGAGCTTGCCAGACAGGCACTGTGCCACTGAGCTGTATCTCCGGCCCTGCTTTGATTTAAAATGTGTGCTTAAGGGGGCTGGGGATTTAGCTCAGTGGCATAAGCGCCTGCCTAGCAAGCGTGAGATCATGAGTTTGATCCCCAGTACCGCAAAAAAAAAAAAAAAAAAAAAAAGATGTATTTAAAGAAAAAAAGGTGGGGGCTGGGGATTTAGCTCAGCAGCATAAGCGCCTGCCTTGAAAGCAAGTGGTCGTGAGTTTGATCCCCGGTACCGATAAAAAAAATAAAAATAAATTAAAATGTGTGCTAAGATTATGAATACTAAGATGTTGATATGAAATCAGTGTGTACCAGTCTAAGGTACACAGCAGTATAGCAGGAAGCTGGGGATGTATTGGTTGCTAAAGACACTGATGTAATTCAAGATTTTTATCATGTAAATTGAAAGTTGATTATAAGTTCACATCAAGAGAAACTCAGCGGTTTCTCACATTTGAGAACTTTTAAAGAAATGTTCCCACAGTAAAAGGAATTTCAACTTTACTAATTTTACTTGCTGTTAAGCCAACACTCAGACAAGCATTTAAGGAAGCAGTATGTTTTATGTTTGTTGTAAATCCCATGAGTTGTATACTTTTGAGGTGGTAAAATAGAGCAAATCAATTTTATTGAAAATACAAAGTAGTATAGTGGGTGTTACTTCACTTTGGTATAAAGATCTGTGTATTCAATATTGACAGAGTTATTCAGACTAGCTGTCCTGGTGCAAGTAACAAATGTTATTAGCAGTTTATAAAAAATTATTTTAAAAAACACAGCAAAGAGTCTGCGGTTATAGTGAATAATTTTCAAGGCAGTATTTGGGACAAAGCCAGAAACCAACACAAGAAGCCAGTTCTGGCCGTTTGCCTGATTTTGCAGCCTTAGAGGGGGAAAAAGGACCTGGCTCATGCCGTAGGTTGTCCCATGGTAGACCCTCTCCAGACTAACTGAACCCGAGGAAACTGTCCACAGGGGACAAGTGAACTCAGACTCGCTGTCTGCACACTGGGGATGTCAGGGAAGGTTGTATTGGTACGGGCAGCGAGGTCTTACAGTGGAAATCAAAAGCTTGTTCTAAGGACCCCAGCGCCCAGAGTGGCTAACAGGTAGACTTTTCCCCAAATCCACGCAGTGTAGTGCGTCTGGGAGCCTAGTACCCTGAGTGGTTTAAGAAGGCCCTGCAGTGGTGATGCTACTCGGTGCCCAGTATCCCCACATTCACTTCTTTTCCAAGAGCAGCACCTTAGGCTTTGGAAAATCCTCAAAGTGAGTTTCAAGGGCAGTGAGCTCTAGGCACGGATAACTAGGTATACAGGAAGCAAGTCCAAGGTTAATGACACTAAGCAGTTTCTTTCAATAATTCTTTTTCTTTTTTGGTACATGGATTGAACTCATGACCTCGCATTTGCCAGGCAGGCGCTGTGCTGCTGAGTTACATCCCTAGGCCCGTCAATAATTCTTCAGTGATATCAGTTATTATTATTTTTTTAATGAAGTGTTTCTAAAATGCTTGACAATACTTTGCTGTGGACCTTGCCTTAAATTTTTTTGTCTCAGTGAAATCACGCTGGAAGCAGAACTTTATTGGTCTCCATGTTATACTTTTTTCCAGTACTGATGATCAGTTACTCCCTCCTCCCCCTAAGTCCTGGTAGTTGAACCCAGTACGTTTTCACTGAGTCACATCCCTCGCTTTTGCTTTCAGTTTTTTCCTTTTTTAGATAACAGCGTTCTGCTGAGTTCCTAACTTGCTCAAGTTGGGCTGGGAATCATTTTCTCCTGCCTCAGCCTCTCAGAGTGCTGGGATTACAGACATATATGACCAAACCTGGCCCATACTGGAGTAGCAATCTAAGCATGTCTGTGGGCCCTCATAGTTTCTGTGGTGTAACAGTCCTGACCTTATGGCAGTGGAAAATAGTGGTCGGATTTGCTGATGTCCTTTATGGCAAACCATTCTGGAGGCATCAGAAAGAGTAAGAATTGAAATTTCTTTTCTCTCATGTGATGCTGGCTGGAGCTCATAACTTTTTGTTTTGTCATGACTTAAGAGGCATTGAGTAGGATGTCAAAGACACTTGTCTCCAGGCTGTGCTGGAGACACAGTTGTTATGAGTCTATATTTATCCATTATTTCAGTAATACAAATTTGTCAATATGATTGTAAAGAACACAATACATGGGTGTCCTTTTGAAAAATAGTTTATTTAAGGTTTTTAAACATCGTAGCCATTCAATTATTGTTTTACATAAAAATATCCAGAGTAGTGTGTCTTTAATTGGAAAGGCCAGAATGAAACTTCTATAAGGCAGGTTCACTATATGAAAAACATTCTTTCCTAGACCAGGGCTTTCTAAATCCAGAAGAAGTATCTGAACTATGCTGGGAACTTGAGCCATGCAATCCCTAGTACTAGCTGCTTGAAGAGATACAGCTAGTAGTGGCCAGCTTGCCTTGCCTGGAGAACTTGGAGGCACATCTGTCCACCAATAACTGTCTCACGTGTGTGTTTCCTTCAGGCGATGCAGACAGAAAACACTGTAAATTCAAGCCCGACCCCAGTATCCCTCCAGCATTCAGTGCCTTCAACGAAGACTATGTGGGAAGCGGCTGGTCGCGAGGACACATGGCTCCAGCGGGAAATAACAAATTTTCAAGTGTAGGAATAACAAATTTTCAAGCACATTTTTGGGAAGGATGGGAGTGGGGGGCTGATGTATGTGTTCCAAGGGTATACTGGGAATTATAGTATTTCCTCTGTATCATTTGGAGGTGGTTATGTCATCCATATATCAGAAGGACCTGGAGATTATAAGTCTAGGAGCCAAATCTTAAAACTTGAGAATTTCCATTCTGTGTTTCTTATTTTCTTTTGACCTCTTCTCTCTCCTTTTCTTGTCAGATGCTGAGTCATTTTTATTTTTGACTTATTTTTACGTTTTTTTGTTTTTTTGAAACAGGATCTCACTGTATATTTTGGGCTGGCTTGGAACTCACTGTATACCTAGGTAGGCTTCAAATTTGCAGTGATCTTTCTGCCTCAGCCTCCCAAGTGCTGTAATTATAGGTGTGTACACTTTGCCTGAATCATGGGTTTGTTTTTGTTTTTGTTTTTGTTTTTTGGTACCAGGGATCGAACTCACGACCGCGAGCTTGCAAGGTTCTTATGCCACTGAGCTAAACCCCTGGCTCCTAAATCATTTTTTAACAAGTTAAGGGCTAGGATTTAGCTCAGTGGCATAAGTGCCTGCCTTGCAAGCATGTTGTTGTGAGTTCGATCTCCAGTACAAAAAACAAAAAAACCAAGTTAAATAGGGAAAACCAAGTGTTATATAAAACGGGATAACAGCTACTGGGAGCTGAGCATGCTGGTTTAGGCCAATAATCCCAGCACTTGGGAGGCTCAGCCAAGATCATTGAAAGTTCAAGGCCAGCCTGGGCTACACAGCCAGACCTTGTCTCAAAAAACACTCAAAAACAACAATAGCAGTAAGACAAAGCCACAGGGACTGAAGCGACTTATCTTTTACAAACATTATCATCATTTTTACTGTTTATTTTTCTGGTGTCTGGGGTTTGAACCCAGAGCTTTATACACGCTAGGCAAATGCCGTTCCATTGAGCTAACCCTTAAGCTCCAAATCATTTATTTTTATTTTGAAAAGTTTGGACATGTAGAAAAGTTGAAAAGCTAGTATGGCAGTCATGTTTGGTACATTTACTTTATATATGTATATGTGAATATATATATAAGTATATGTGTATTTATATATATTTACATATGTTTTAAAACCGTTGACATCGTAACACTGTATTCCTAAACAGATTGCTCAGGGACATGGGTCATCTAAGAATGAGGGTGTTTGCATATTAGACAAGCGTATCACACCCAAGAAGCTTGTGTAGGTGTTTTTTATATTTGCACAGTGTTATCTAGAGTTGATACTCCGGTTTTCCCAGTTCCCCATTACATCTTGTACAGCCCTTTGGGTCTGAGATCCAATTGTGAATCACACATTATATTGTGTTGTCATTGTGTTTCCTTTAAAGGATAGTTGTTTTGTTTTGGTTTGGTTTTTTGGGGGTTTTTTGTACTGAGACTCAAAAACTCATGACTTTGTGCTTGCCAAATAGGTGCTAGGCTGCAGAGCTGTATCCCTGGCCTTAATCACCTCTTTTAATTTAGGATAATTTCCCTGCCAGAAAAGGGTTGGGGGAGGATTTCATGACATTTTACCATGTGAATGTTGTGTTGTGTTTTGTTTTGTTTTGAGACAGGATCTTACATTGTAGTGCAGGCTGGCCTTAATTTGCTTATGTAGCCCAAGCTGGCCTTGAACTCACGTCACGCTGATCCTCCTGCTTCAGCCTCCTGAGTGTTGGGATTACAGGTGTCAGCCACCATACCTGGCTTACTATGTGAACTGTTCTTGCTGCTTCATCAGGATAGTGGTTTTCAACCATTGGTACGCATTGTGATCACCTGGGCAACTGTACAAAGATCCCCATTGCAGAAACTCTTGGCTATGGAGCCAGGCATCAGTTAAGCTTCCTAGGTTACATAGGATACTTTTTTCTCTGCCACTCGTGAACAAGCGTGCTTGTACTATGCCTCTTAATATTCCTGAAAGTTGACTATAGTTGAGAAATTTCCTGCCAGAGGCTTAAAACCAGAATTTGCTCTTAAGCTTTACATTGAAAACTTTTAATTCTCTTAGAGTTTATAGATTTTATAAATGATAAGCCAAATTAAGTGCACCGAACTTAAAATCCTTACTTGGTATATTGGTTACTTTTCTCCTGTTGCTGGAACAAAATACCCAACACCCAAAACAAGGAAGGAAAGGTTTATTTAGCTCACTGTTTGTGAAGCTTTCAGTCCATAAACAGCTTGCTCCAAGGCAGGGTGGCGTGGCCCTGGGGCGGCACTCCAAGGCAGCAGCCAGAGCAAAAAGGGGAGTCAGAGCAAGCCTCTTTTTTCTCCCTTATGTTGTACATAAGCCGCCTCCTGACACTGTCACCACCACCACCGCTGCCGCCACCACCTCACTGCCCCACCCCTACCTGCAGATGTAGCACTCACAAAATCTCTGTTGCACTGGGATGAGGATATTTACAAAGTAAGGGTTCTAGCTCCCTGCTGAGTCTCTTAGTTAAACTTGTAAACTTTTCAAGTTGACACAGTGTATCAACCATAATACTTGGAAAGTAAGTCTTTCTGGCCCTGTACCTGTAGCTTTCATTTATCCAAATAAGAACTGTAGTCACTAATTGCCTGGAAGTAATATGTGAATGAGGAATTGGTTTTCTGTTTGCTTTGTATACTATCTTAAAGGGGGGACGTTTCAGTGTAAGTTATTATTTTTATTTTTTTCACAGAAAGCCATGGCTGAAACTTTTTACCTTTCTAATATTGTACCTCAGAATTTTGATAATAATTCTGGATATTGGAACAGGTAAGTTGTGAGAGGATTTTTTTTTTTTTGAACTGGGAATTGAACTCAGGATCTCACACTTGCCAGGCAGGTGCCAGCCACTGAGCCATGCCCCCAGCCATGACAGTTTTTTAAAATACACTCTGTGGAGGATGAATTGTGTGACAGAGGATATATTAGCATATGTCAGCTGGCTGTGTCTGCCCTTGAGATGCTAACCCTACTGATAGCAAGTACATTGGATTATTTTCTTTGCTGTATTTTGGGAGTATGGTCTGTGGGAGAGCAAACTTAAAAATATAACCTGCTTTTTTTTTTTTTTTTAAATGTGTTTGTTACTGTTCAGAAGTGCAGTTTTGAAAGAAACTACTCAAATTAATAATCCCATTACTACCTGAAGCAGTAATATCTTTTCTGAGTGTGTCCAGAAAAGGCACCTACTATTCAGGTCTCTTGTTTGTTTGTTTTGTTCTTTTTGAGACAAGAGTCTCACTATGTAGTTCAGACTGGCCTTGAACCCACTTTGTAGCCCAGGCTGGCCTCGGATTTGCAGCGATCCTGCCTCAGCCTCCTGAGTGCCGTGATTACAGACGTGTACCACCGCATTTGGCAATTTTTTTATTTTAAAGAGATTAAGATAAAAGAGGACATAACAAAGCAGATCAGAACAGAACAATTTAAGCAACACAGTATTTCACCACAAGGCAACCCGACATAACAGTAGCTACCATAATGTCTATTTCCTTGAAATAGTTAAGCATACCTTCACGCACAATAGTATCAAACATAACAATATAGTATAAAACCACTCAAGAGAATGAAAGTATTACAGGGCATTCAGAACCAAATAACAGAAAACAAACAATGGTTACTATGTTATCTCATTGTCCATAAAAAATTTGTTTATACTATCACACATGATAAAATTCAATAAGATACTACATGATAGAACCAATGGAATTGGCAATTTTCTTATATTCTGATGTTGCTGAGCTTTTAAGAAGAAGTGCTGGGGGCTGGGGCTTTAGCTCAGCGGTGTAAATGCTTGCCTGGCGAGGTCACGAGTTTGATCCCTGGTACCAAAAAAAAAAAAAAAAAAAAATAGTGCAGGTACAGTTTAATTAAGCATCAACTAGGTGTTTTTTGTTTAATGGTCCTGAGAATTGAAATTCTGTGCTGAGTTGCATTGCTAGGTCTTTTTTTTAAATTAATTTTTGAGAAAGAGTCTCACTAAGTTGTTAAGTTGCCCATTCTGGGCTCAAACTTGCAGTCCTCTTGTTTAAGCCTCCAGAGTGATGGGATTAAAGGTATGTGCCACTACACCCCAGCTCCATTAGCTAGTTTTTAATAAAACTAATTATAAAATCTGAGCTGGGTGCGGTGGTGTATGCCTATAATCCCAAATTGGGAAGCAGAACCAGGAGGATCTCTGGGAGTTCTAGGCTAGCGTGGGCTACACAGTTGGGACCAGTTTGAACTACATTGTGAGACCTGTTTTATAAGGAAAAACAAGCTGGGTGTGGTGGCGCCTACCTGTAATCCCAGCATTTGGGAGGTCGAGGCAAGAGGATTGCTGCAAGTTTGAGACCAGCCTGGGCTACAAAGTGAGCTCAAGCTGCACTGTGTAGCTGGACCCTGTCTCAAAAGAAAAAAAAAAATAGAAGTGGTCTGGCTGTGTAGTTTCCTGAGTGTTTATAAGCTGTGGTCAGTGGTTGCTGGTCATGGCCACAACTGTTTCACTACAGCCCTCCTTTTCTCCATTCAGGTTCAGGCACATTGTTTTATTCGGAAATATTTCAATATGTTTTTAGAAAATAAGGATTTCTTTTCAGGTATTATTTTTTACTAGTCCATGTTTTTGGTGCGTGTGCGGAGCACATCTCAGGTCTTCCTGTAACCCTCTCTTCCTCCCCTCCCCCTTGCATCTCTTAGTCCCCGGTCCATTTGCCAAGGATTTTTTCAAAGGTGGCCCACTGGACTACTGTTGCCCTAAAATAAAGGACAGTAGTTCCTTCTTAGCAGTTTTCAGTATTCATGTTTCTCTGATTACTGTTAGATATTTTTTGGTTGGCTGGTTTAAATTAGGATTTGCTCATGGTCTATACCTAGATTGAGCGATGCATCCCTTTAGTTCTTTTTAATTTGTAGATCCTTTTTTTTTTTGCAAATTATTTTTTGAAGATTTGTTATATTTTCCCTTGGAGTTTCCTTTCCATGTTCTGGGTTTAGGGATTGCATACCTGTAGGAGAACTTAACATTTTTTTTCCTCAGATGACTTTATGGGAGAAAGATTTTACCTTGTAAAATAGTATATGTTGGCGTATGTACTGTAAGAGAATTTGATGTTACGTTTTAGATAAGAAACTGAGGAGTGGTAAGTATTATCTCACTGGGAGACCTCGTCCAGCTGTACTATAAGAAAATGTAGGGCTGGAGATTTAGCTCAGCAGCATACGTACCTGCCTGGCAAGCATGAGGTTGTAAGTTTGATGTCTGGTACCAAAAAAAAACAACAACCAGAAAATGTATTTATTGCTTCTCGATCTTTTGGCTAAGATCAAGTGAAGAAAGTATATAAAATCACTTGCCATTTTAATCTCGTAAATGTGATAAAAGGTTTTAAGTGATAAATTCCAGTGTTGTAAAGAATGTTGTAAACTATTATGTTTTAGAGCCTAGAGAGGATTTATACAATCCTATTGAAAATATTTAGTATAAGTTTTACATATAATCAAGAGTCATTGAAATATTTATTTAGTAATTTTAGTCCTTGAAATTTATTCCGAGAATTAATATAATGTTGCATTATATAGGAAATGTTAAAATAAATCCAGTTGTCCTGTTGTGGAAATGATTTTATTAGGTTGTTGGAATGAGATACTTAAGAGATATTTGAAAACTATGGCATAGACTGCGTGGTGGGGCAAGAGTGTGCTGGGATCAGACTCGGCCTCATGCATGCGAGCCATGTGCTGCACTGCAGAGCCACGCCTCTAGCCCCGAGAAATGCTTTCACAGAATTTCACTTTTTTTTTTGTCTTTTTCCTTTTTATCGGTACCGGGGATCGAACTCACGACTGCCTGCTTCCAAGGCAGGCGCTTATGCCGCTGAGCTAAATCCCCAGCCCCTCAGAATTTCACTTCTAAAATACATACTAGGTGTACACAGAGAAGAATGTAGATAGTTATGTTGCATGATTTTTAATTTTTTTAGCAAAACTTTGGGAAAATTATTATTTGTTTATGTTTTGTGTGTTCTTATTTAATTTCACAGATGCAGTTTCCTTGTGTCTTTCCTAGGGACTGCAGCAGAAATGGCTTGCAGCTTTTCTTTTCATTTCTGTCTGTAAAACAATTGTACATATCTGCTTTTGCTTTTCAGAATAGAAATGTACTGTCGTGAGCTGACAGAGAGGTTTGAAGACGTTTGGATAGTCTCGGGACCTTTGGTCTTGCCTCAGACCAAAAGTGATGGAAAGAAGACAGTCACTTACCAGGTAGGGACCTTAACACTCAGGTTTATATTATTTGTATGAACTTATAATCCTGTTCTGTAACAGTACGTATTAAACATCTATCAGTGTTGCAAGCACAGAGGAATCAGTGATGGGTAAAAAACAACTGTTGACTTCTCTGGAGCTCACAGTTTGAAAAGGAGCCAGGCGTGTTTGCAGTAAACTGCATTACTGTAGTTGAGGTTAATGTGTGGGTGGGAAGGACTGACAGGCTGCTGTGTGGACTGGAAGGCTTAGTGAAGGAACAAGTGTTTCAACTAGATCTTGATAGATAGAGTAAACGGAGTCAGGGGGGAACACTTGGCAGTTTGTAATCAGCAGCTTGGCTGTGGGGTTTGTGTGTCATTCACAGAGACTGGAGATCATGGTGCAAGAAGGGAAACCAGCTCCTGAGAGGGGCTCTGCGCAGGCAGGACAGCGCCAGAGGCTTGCTGACTTGGTTTTCCAGAGTGAGGCACTGTGAAGCCATGGGTTGGTTTTGAGCATGGGGAATGTGATTTGTTTTGGCTTTTACAAAAAGAATTCTGGTGGCAGTGTGCAGAAGGTAGAGGAGAAAGGGAGCATCAGGGAGGAGCTCAGAGCTAAGAGAAGGAGTGAAGGCATTACTGTAGTAGGCCACATGAGGACACACAAGGGGCTGAACTCAGACATTTTTTAATTATATTTTTGTAACTACCTACTTTTTTATATACATATATATATACACATATACATGTTTTTCCTCTAGCTTCCATACTAATGAAGCAATATTATGTTTACACATGTCTTATTTCACTGAGTATATTCTTAAGTAACATTCATTTACCTATGTCTCCAGTTTATCCTTCTTTGTGACTGAGTAGTACTCCCTTGTATAAAACTACCACATCTTTTTTATCCATTCCTTAGTTGATGAGCATTTAGGTTGTTTCCAAGATCTGGCTATTACAAATTGTGCTGCTATAAACACGGGTGCACATTTATCGCTGTGGTATGATGTTTTTAATTCTTTTGGGAAGATGCTCGGGAAGGGGATAGCTGGGTCAAATGGGACCTTGAGTCCTAGTTTTTTGAGGAATCTCCACACTGATTTCCACAGTGATTGCACTGCCTGCATTCCCACCAACAGTGAAGGGTTCCTTTTTCCCCACAGCCCCTCTAACTTTGGTTATTGCTTGATTTCTTGATTCTAGCCATTCTTTCTGGGATGAGGTGGAATCTCAGTGTTTTAATTTGCATCTCTTGAATGACCAATGGTGTTGAACATTTTTTCACGTATTTATTTGCTGTTCGTATGATTTCTTTATCTGACAAATGTGCATTCATCTCAGATGCCCATTTTTGGATTGTGTCTTTAAATCTGGGAGGATTGATTTTTTTTTTTTTTTGAGTTCTTATATGTCCTCAATAGTAATCATTTGTTTGAGGAACAGCTGGCAAAATTTTCTCACGCTGTGGGTTGTCTCTTCACTCTGTTGGTGGTTTCTCTTGCTGTGCAAATGCTTTTCAATAGGGTGAGATCCCATTTGTTGATTCTTTGTGATAGTTCCTGTGGGGTTTTGTTCATAAAATCTCATTCTATCTTCTAGAAGATTTAATGTTTGTTTTAATATTAAGATCGTTGATACATTCTGATTTTAGCATAGTACATGGTGAAAGATATGGGTCCAATTTTAATTTTTGGCATGTGTATAGCCAGTTTTTCCAGCACCATTTATTAAAAGTCTGTCTTTTTTCCAGTGGATGTGTTTGGCACCTTTGTCAAAGATAAAGTGACTTAGTTTGTCTGTAGTTGTTTCTGCATCTTCTAATCTGTTCCATTCATCTTTGGATCTAGTGTTTGTTTGTTTGTTTGTTTTTGGCGGTACTGGGGATTGAATTTACGAACTCTCACTTGCCAGGTGGGAACTTAAGCCACTGAGCTAAATCTCCGGTCCTACCACACTGTTTTTATCACAGTATAATTTCAAGCCAGGGATTGTGATACCCCGTGTCTTGTCTTTGCTGCCCAGGATTGCCTTTGCTATTCTAGGTCTCTTGGTTCCGGATGAATTTTAGGAGTGTTTTCTCTGATTGTGTGAGATATGCTATTGGAATCTTGTTGCGTTGAATCTGTATAACACTTTTGGAAGTATGGACATTTTCACTCTATCGGTTCTTCCTACCCAAGAGCACAGGGTATCTCTCCATTTTCTAACATCCTCTTCAATTTCCTTTTTCAGAGTACTGTACTTTTCAATATAGAGGTCTTTTATATCCTTTGTTAGAGCAATTCCTAGTTATTTCATTTTTTGGGATGCTTTTGTATAAGGTATTGTTTCTCTGATCTCTCTGTGAGTTTGTTATTGGTGTACATTGATTTTTGAGTATTGACTTTGTAACCAGCTATGTTTCTGAATTTGCTTACTAAATCTAGAAGTATTTGGTAGAGTTTTTGGGGTCTTCTAAGTAGAGTATCATGTCATCTGCAAATAATGATAGTTTAACTTCTTCCTTTCCTGTCTTTATTATTTTATTTCTTTCTCTTGTCTAATTGCTCTGGCTAGAGTTTCTAGGACTACGTTGAATAAAAGTGGGAACAGTGGACATCCTTGTCTTGTTCCTGATTTTAGAGTGAAAGCTTTCAGTTTTTGTCCATTTAGTATGATGTTGGCTGTTGGTTTTGTCGTAGATGGCTTTTTTTTTTTTTTGTCTTTTTGAGTCAGGCTCTCACTTTGTGATTCAGGCTGGCCTTGGGCTCACTTTGTAACCAAGGGTGGTCTTGAACTTGCAACAATCCTCCTAACTCAGCCTCCCAAGTGCTGGGATTACAGGAGTGTGCCACTATGCCCACCTTCATAAATGGCTTTTATTAGATTGAGATAAAGACTATTTCTGTAGGGTTTTTATCATGAATGGGTGCTGGACTTTGTCGAAAGCGTTTTTTTTTTATCTGTTGAGATGTTCCTATGATTTTTGTCTTTGGCTCTGTTAATATGTTGTATTCCATTTATGGATCTGCGCATGTTGAACCATCCCTGCATCTCCTGGATGAGCCCCAATTGATTATGGTGTACAATCTTCTTGAAGATTTGCTACAGTCTGTTTGCTAGTATCTTATTGAGGATTTTTGTAGCAATGTTCATTTAGGGAGAGTGGCCTGTAATTCTCTTTCTTAGTTGGGTCCTTCTCTTGTTTTGATTTCAGAATAATACCTTCTTCCAAGAATGAATTCAGAAGTATTGTTTCCCATTAAATTTCATTAAAGAATTTGAAAAGTAGTAGTAGTACATCTTTTCTGCATTTCTTGTAGAATTTAGAATTCAGGGCCTGGGCTTTTCTTTGTTGATAGGTTTTTAATTGCATCTTTGATTTCATTTTTTGATATTGGGTTATTTAGGATTTTTATATCTTCTTGATTCAGCTTTGGTAATTCATATGTATCTAGGGGGTCTGTCCACATCTTCTATATTTTGTATTTTATTAGAATATAAATTTTCAAAGTAGGTATGGGTGATTGGATTTCTGCAGGGTCTGTTTGTGATTTAGCCCTTTTTATTCGTAATTGCGTGTATTGGAGTCTTTTCTTTCCTTGTTTTGATAAGATGGCAAGGGTTTGTCAATTTTATTTACTCTTTCAAAGAACCAACTCTTTGATTCATTTATTCCTTGTGTTATTTTTTAGTCTCCAGTATGTTAATTTCTGCTCTGATCTTTATAACTTCCTCCCTTGTATGAGCTTTTGGTTTTTCTAAAAGTTTAAAGCACAAGATTAAGTTGTTTATATGTGCTTGCTCTGTTTTCCTAATTTGGAAATTACTATAAATTTCCCTCTTAAGACTGCTTTCATTGTGTCCCACAAGTTCCGGTATCTTGCATTTTTGTTATCATTTAACTGTAAAAACTCTTAATTTCTTCTTTAATTTCATCTATGACCCATTGGCTGTTCAGTAGGGTGCTATTTAATTTCCATGAGTTGATGAAGTTCTTGTGGTTTTCTTTGCTATAGATTTCCAATTTCATTGCACTGTGGTCTTATCAGACCATAGGGTATGCATGGGGTAATCTCAATTCCTTTGCATTTACTTAAGCATGTTTTATGAGCCAGTATGTGGTTTATTTTGGAGAATGTCCCATGTGCAGCAGAAAAAAATGTGTATGCGGATCTTGTGGGGTGGAACATTCTATAGACATCTACAGGTCCATTTACTCAAAAGTTTGCTTTAGTTGTATTTCATTATTGGTTTTTTGTCCAGTTGATCTGTCTTTTTGTGACAGTGAGATATTTCAGTCTCCCAATACAATTGTGTTAGAGTGTATATGATTTTTCATTCTGTTAATGACTTTTATATAGTTGATTGCACCGGTATTTGTTGCATATATTTATGATTGTTTGTATGATTTTTCATTTCTTTAATAACTTAGTTGCACTGGTATTTGTTGCATATATTTATGATTATTACCTCTTCCTCTTGAATTGTTCCCTTTATGAAGATGTAGTGACCTTCTTTATCTCTCTTAATCAGTCTTGGCTTGAAATTCACTTTGTCTGTAAATAGAATAGCTACCCCTGCTTTTTTCTGGGTTCCTGCCACATGCAGTGTTGTTTTTCATCCTTTGATTTTCAGTCTGTGAATTTCTTTCTGAATTAAATGTGTTTCTTGTATGCAGCATATTGTTGGATCTTGCCTGTTTGATATCCACATGGAGATGCTGAGTAGGCTGGATGTGAGTGTGGATCTCAGAGGAGAGGGAGAAGCAGAGATGTCTCCCCAGTGCTGAACACACGAAGGGCGTTTAAAGCTAAAACGAGCCCTTCCTTGAGGATAAGTGAGTGCTCCGCACCCTGCAGCACTTGGCCTTGTGAGGCCAGAAGGAGGAAGGGTCACAGGGGTCGCCTTTAGGGCGGGAGGGGAGGCACAGAGAGTGGGGTCCCAGAAGCCGGGAGGTTGGGGCTTCAAGGAGGAAGGCTAGCGAGGGCTGCACTCAGCTTTAGCTTTAAGTCAGCAGCACACCTATCATTT